TGAGTATTTACAATAAGAATACAATCTATTTACATGAAACTAAACAAAATAATGTTAGTAATAAAAAATCCCACAATCCTTAAATGTGGGAGAAACATCAGTTAACTGGAGGAAATCGATGTGGGACTACATTAATATAAAACATTCATTCATCCCAAGCACTCACACTGACAGGCACTTATTCAGACACAACAAATACGAAAACACACACACAAAACCGAAAGGCGCCCCGCATCTACCAGAGAACTAACATCCCTGACCACCTAACGAGGGAAGGAATGAGAAATTAAACTAAAGAAAAATAGGGACAGAAATAAAAGGGGCCAATGAGCATTCATACCCTAACTACGTTAACCATATCGAAGAGTTTATCCATACAATTACCATGAAAATATTTATAGAAAAAGCACAGGGAATCTACATTATGACGGTGGTCAAGTGACTGAAGCCGAGATACCAGGTCAGGACTAATAATATTGTGGATTCTTCTTTCAATTTTATCAAGAATCTCTAAATATATAACAGGAGAATCGCATTATATATGTGGCTGCAGTATTCAAAGCATGGACTTATATGATAAATTCATATTTTCACTTTGGAAACTCTGATAAATCAAAGAATATCTGAAATTTCACTTTGGAAACTCTGATAAATTAAAGAATATCTGAAATTTCATTTTGGAACCTATGATAAATTAAAGAATATCTGAAATTTCACTTTGGAACCTATGATAAATTAAAGAATAACTGAAGGCCGATCTCTTTGAAAATTTTATCAGAATATCTATTACTCTTTGGCATCACACATACTGTAACCAAATCAACATCAGTTTTATTTCCTGTTATATTATTCCCACTAATGTACTATTATTGTTAATATTAGCCGTTTCCTTATAAGGAAATATCTTACATTAACTGATCGAGCGGACAGTGCTACTTTTGGTTGAAATTTATAAAATCTTTCTATCAAAACAATTTATCAGGAAAATAGTTTTCTGAAGTCCACTGTTATCACTCTTTCCAGTATAGATGGACGTTTCCTTCCATGCTTTATGTTTGAAGTACTGTAGAATATTAACATCTTGATTATGACATTATTTTCTCTTCGACTTTTATGTGCTATCATTTTTAGTTGTTGTTACTGTTGAAAGCTTTAAAGTGAAGTTGCTCCTGTTATCTGGTATAGTTCTTTGTGATTTTGTAACACCAGTCCACTAGGTTCGAGGAAAGAGAGTTCCCGCTAAGACGTACCTGCTTCACTTGCTCGAAGCCATTTTTAATCATTGATCTGAGAAAATAGTTCGAAATAGGTGTGAGTTTAGATATTTCAGAACAAGTTTGGTGTCATGTCATGTCATCTATAAGAGACTCTCGACTAGGGATTGTTTAAGGATACAAATCGAGGTTTTAGGCTAATGTTTTGGTTTAGTAGTAATTGGCGGTGTTGTGTGAAACTATTCATAGCGCAGACTATTCCATGTTCAATTTCCTTATCTTTTAGACAAAATCTTTATCTCTAAAGTTGTAGTCTGTGACTGTTATGGAACTTCTACGGTTTTTGGAGATAGCCCCCCACCCCTAACCATATATATTCTGAAGCTACATTACACAGGGTACTTGGATAAGTATATTTCATTTTGATCAAAGGGGGTACCCTGGAGGGTACAGCCTCCACCTTCACTGATTTTTTTCCCTTTTGATTTAAATTAAAATTAAATTTGAACAAGGAAATGACTCCTATCCAAAATATAGAGGGAGAAAGCCAGAAGATGGGGGTCACATCATTGAGTCATAGTGAAATGCATCATTTTTCTCCACAAATTTCACAATGATTTAAAATCAATCATTTTCTTACAAAATAAAAATGCGTGATACGCAGCAAGGTGCGGGTAATTCAGCTAGTTTATAATTCTCGTGTGTCGCTGTAAAGAAACATTAAATAACTTTCGTGTTTTATGATTCAGCGGTTAATGCTTTTCGTGATCAGCGTACATTTTTAGATGAACTGTGTCTTTTTTTTTTTCGTTTTCGTTTATTCAGATCGATGGCTCTTTCTTTATTTTAAGTATAGTTCATTGTTTAAAAGTTTCCTCTTTTTGCAATATAACTTGATTTTCTTATTTATTTCTTTATTTTTTACCACCACAGTAAGCAGGGAGTTGGAATGATAGACAGAACGGAGTGCCATCTATAGGGAAAAAAATAGTCCCCCATATGAAGTAAATACAGCATTTATCGCATTGTAAGCCATGTTTGTCATTCCATTTAAATTTCGTACCGATAACCGGCTTTGGTAGCATTCTATAACAATAGCCGCCAACCGATGGTCCACGGACCACTGGTGGTCGTCGCAAAATTTCTAATGGTCCGCAGAAAAAATGGCACATTATTTCAATGTTTATGAAACTTATGATTCAAAAATGACGACTAGCAAAACGCATTATGGATGGTATATATGTTTAAGCCCTTGTGTAATCTCGAAGTTAACACGAGTAAACAAATGTGACGTCATTCAGCCATAGTATAACCTAACATACTTGCAAAGTCATGTTCAATACTTGTCACTTTTTTAACACGCCATTGTTACATATGTTATAATTTCATTGCGTGGGACACGTGTTTAGGTGTATATATCTAATTTTGTGTACAACCTAGCATTATAAACCTCTCTGAGAATTAATGGATGGTATATATGTTTAAGCCCTTGTGTAATCTCGAAATAAACTCAAGTAAACAAATGTGACATCATTCAGCCATAGTATAACCTAACATGACTTGCAAAGTCATGTTCAATACTTGTTACTAAATAGTTTCTTACCGTTACTGTTGATAACTAGTTACTAAAGAGTAAATTTATTGCTTCGACCACATGACTTCAAAATCTCCTGCAACTCTTCAGGATGGCCTCCTTGTTTAAGTTGGTGAATGCTACCATAATCCTTTGGTGTTACGAGAAGTTTTGTTGCTCTCTCACTCAACTGAGCCTCACATATAATAATTAAGTAGGTTGCCGTCTAGGGAATTAGATGGCTAGATGTAAGAGGTGGTGTGGTTGCAGAAATTGTTTGACAGCCATGACTGGGTTCTCCTGTTTGTGTGGCGTGGTGCAGAGTCCTCTTGCCAAACATAGGGTCTTCCAGCAGCCACTCCCATGAGTTAGGGTATCACTAACTTCTCAAGGCACTTGATGTAGGCCCCCATGTTGAGTCTGAAGCTTTCACCAACAAATTCGAGTTCTTTTCTTATCAGAACGATCAGAGTGAATTTTCCTAGCTGCCATACCTTCGTAATCAACATTATACTCATCCAACTCTTTCTGAATCCTCTGCAATGTTCTCAGATTAGAGAAACTTATTTACTGAATAGTTTACTAGTATAATTTTCACAGCGTTAGTTGTAACATAACCCTTTCAGTGTGAAGTCTATCTCTCAGTATGAATTTTCTCAGACCTATCGTCACTTTTGAAGTCGTCCACGTTTCTTGCATAGAATTATGTATTTCAACCTCGACTTGCCAGCTGAAAAGGTTAATAAACATTATAATAAGAATCCTTTCTGAAATATACCAACCAAACGTCAAGTCTTCTGTTGTCTAGACCAGTGGTCGCCAACTGGTGGTCCGTGCAAAATTTTTGATGGTCTGCAGAAAAATTGGGATATTATTTCAATTTTTATGATGCTTCAGATTAAAAAATGACGAGTAACAAAAACCCATTATGCATGGTATATATGTTCAAGAACTTGTGTAATCTCGAAATAAACACGAGTACACAAATGCGACATCATCCAAACATAGTATAACCTAACATAACTTGCAAAGTCATTTTCAATACTTTTCACTTTTTTAACACACCATTTGTTGTTACATATGTTATAATTTCATTGCGTGGGACACGTGTTTAGGTGTATATATCTAATTTTGTGTACAACGTAGCATTATAAACCTCTCTGAGAACTAATGGATAGTGTATATGTTCAAGAACTTATGTAGTCTCGAAGTTAACACGAGTAAACAAATTTGACGTCAATCAGCCATAATATAACCTAACATGACTTGCAAAGTCATGTTCAATACTTGTTACTAAATAGTTTCTTACCATTACTGGTAACTAGTTACTGGATGGTTTAGTAGTATAATTTTCTACAAACATGGCATAGCAACGGATTTTCAAGAATCGGCTTACGCACCAGATATAAATTCATAAATATTCGTACTCAAAAATAAAAGGACTTTTTAGTGGACTTGAATAAACTTCAAATTTTCAATTTGTTTTATTTAAATAATTACACTATAACTTTGTTACATTTAATGGGTGCATTTAATTTTAATAAAATAAATGTTTTTCGATTATTATTATATAAATGTATTTACCTTTCATACTAGTGCTCCATCAAATTTAAAATGATAAATTTAGTGGTCTATGAAGTTCAAAAGGTTATCTTTGGTTATCATTCTATAAGGCTGGTGTATTCTTCGGACCTTCACGGTCAGGTTTTCTCGTTCGTTTTAGATTCAATGCTTCTAATAAACAAATTGTTCACATGGAATTAGATTCTGTGATTTATGTTTTTTCAATTACTTATTGCCTATATAAAATGAAGAAAGGACCAAAATGAGACGATGGGGTGATTTTTGCTCCATTAAAAAAAAAACAACACGGCTAAATGCAAAAAAAAAAAGAGAAAAAACAATCAAAAGATGTAAATTATCCTCATTTTTTTTAAATGGGCAGAAAACATTTTAAGAAAATAAATTCACAAGAAATTCAAGTGTGCATCCTTATCATTTTTGCTAGTATTTTTAAGCTCTTTGGTAGCATTTTATAGGGCTGATGCATTCTTCGGCTTACTTCATATATATAACATTATTTAGTTAAAAATCCATATACATTTTGTTTTCTATTAAACGTATGGCCTGAACATTAGCTACGAAACCGTAGCTTTTCACAAGAGATGGTTAGAAATACGCTATTAACTCAACGACTAACTCCTCGTTGAAACGATAGATAGAGAGATTATGAACAGACTAAGATAGATAGATAGATAGATAGATAGATTACGAACAGACATAGATAGATAGATAGATAGATAGATAGATAGATAGATAGATAGATAGATAGATAGATAGATAATGAACAGATCAAGATAGATAGATAGATAGATAGATAATGAACAGATCAAGATAGATAGATAGATAGATAGATAATGAACAGATCAAGATAGATAGATAGATAGATTATGAACAGACCAAGTTAGATAGATAGATAGATAGATAGATAGATAGATAGATAGATAGATTATGAACAGACCAAGATAGATAGATAGATAGATAGATAGATAGATACCAGCAGGCGGAAATAGAGCAAATATGAGGCAAATATGAATCTCCTGACGAAGTCTATACGCTTCGTTCATGCAAAGTGAAAAGTCGGACAAATATTATTTCAGACAAGAGGGTGAGAAAAAGGTGTCCAAAGTAAATAACACGGAAATATAAATAAACAACCGGAAGAAGAAGAAACAGCGAAGACGTCTTGATTGAAACTAAGCAAAGAGGCGATTTGGCTGAGGCGAAATTGGATCGACGTGACGGTTTAGGAGTAAGTGATTTATTCCTCAGATTTTTACGCCTTTCGCCCGGGACGGCAGCGAATTCTTACCCAGCGCTTCCACCTTTCCAACAACATATATATAACATATATATATATATATCTGTGTGTGTATTTCGGTTCCATACGGTGTGGGTTTGGAGTCTACTAATAGAACTGTCAATGCCATTATTGTTCCAATATGTGACATGTGTCACTTTCTTTGCAACTGACGCTCTGTTACCGGCAACTCACGATTAATCACGCCGAATGATAAGAGACACACTCTGAAGGAGTTGGCTTACAACTGATTTTGAATCTCTCTTCATAATATATAGAATCGAGTGTACATAATTTCTCTCCCTCTTTACATATGAATCGATATATGCACACGCATGCGCGCGTGTGTGAGGCTGTGTGATATTATTTTTTTCTCGTCTACAGATTATGTCGTCGAATCGGCCCATGCTTACTGAGTCAGTCTACCAAGAGGCAACGTGCTATCAAGCCATGTTCATTTATTATGTGATGTTATTTTGCGTGCAAGAACGGTTCTGTAATCTTTACGATAGATTAGATAATCTTATTTGGTTCATGCTTCAAGTTTTGTGTAAATCTCTGAACTATTCCACCAAATTCTCTAGTCTTGTACAGGTTTTTACGAATATGCGTTTCAAAAGCCGATCGAGTATCCATTCAGATAAAAAAACACCCATTCATCAAGTCATCCCGAACTATTCCACCAGTCTTTTGGTGAGCATTCTCTAGTCTTGTACAGGTTTTTGCGTCGAATATGCGTTTCAAAGCCGATCGAGTATCCAAAAGAATTTTCTAGTAAGTTCCAGAACTTAAGAATTAGTCTTTTCCTTCTTTTTGACGCCAATCAACTCTGAATTGAATAAGCATCTCATTTCAATCAACCTTCTTTCAGATAAACAATATTGTTTTCCTTTATCAAGGGCAGTGTTTCTCAAGATTTTTAAGCAATGGGACACTTAGGAGAAAATGAAAATTATCACGGCATATTTAGTAAAATTTTTGAAGGGTATATATTTAAATGTTCTGAAATAAAACCACAGATTTAAAAAATATATATATACAAACACTAATATGAACTTACTTTCTTTCAATGTTTCTATTCAAATAAGGGCGTTCCAATAACTTGGACTGATTTCAAATGCGAGTTAAGTTTAAAATCGGTCCAAGTTATTGGAACGACCTTATTTGAATATAAACCGTTATTTCTGCAGCTTATTTAGTGTGAAATTTGTGTCTAGTGTTTTTTTTTCCGCGATTTCTTCAATGTTTGATCAAACGTCCCATTTCTTTTTCAGTTGAGCCAAGTCGTTCTCGCTTCCTTTTTTTTTTTTTTTCTTTTTTTCTTTTTTTTTTCTTTTTGATGTCCGTTAGGGCCATGAAGCTTAATTCGTATAAATAAGAAATAGAAAATTTTAATAAACCTCTTAAAGCCTTTTTTTCATCTAATATTTTCTTCATAATGTTTCTGTTTTCTAATTGTTCCACGGCCGACAGCCCCATGTGCCTTACTGGCTTTACTACCTTGCATATTGTTAATTCGATTAAAAATAGTACTAATAAAATTCCTTGATGCTACACCACGCATGGCTCTCATGGCTTCTGATTTTAAATTATTGGAAGTGTAAACATATAAATAGTTTGTCTCTGTGAATTAAGATGGGATAAAGAAAATATTCCGTTCAGAATTATTTGTCATTTTTTTTATTAATTTCAGCCAAAGCCATTCAAGGTCGACTGTTACAGTTGAAATGATAATGATGGATGAGATATAAGTGGAAGAGAAGCTGATTGCAGTTGAAGATTATGAGGAGAAGAAGATTAGATAACGATTGACCTTTGACTTGAAGAGAAGCACTTGGTCAGGGGTCGACACATTGTGCATCTCTATTCACGAACGGGAATAGTAGGGAAGCCTCGTAACCGGTTTTGAGAGGGTTAATTGTTTGAAGAGCAAAGGATGATGGCAGCCAAGGTGACTTGGGTGCTTCATCTAGATACTTGTGAACACCCACAATCGGAGATCGTCTGAGTAGACTGCCCTGAAGATATATCCAGATTGAACCCACCTGCAAGGTTGTGTTGCTTTTATCAAAACCTGTCATCATATTGCACACATTTGGCTGTGATGCATGTACACGGTATACCTTTATCAGATTAGGTGTTATGATGGGTATATTGAGCTTCCTATATTTATATCACAGTGTCCATTTGTTTGTGTCTCTCTCTCTTTTTTCTCTCTCTCAATAATAATAATAATGATGATGATGATGATGATCCACTTCTATTTACCGACCATAAGAGCGAATGAAATCAAGGCCAGCATTGACAAATCACGAAAAGAAAGCAAATGCAGGATGCGTGGGCAAGTTGACGAAATAGTTAACCATACACTCGCTGAATGACCCAAGTTGGAACAGAAAGACTATAAGCGGTGACGATTGAATTGATAAGAGCAAAGTTTCTCACCCATTTTAAGCAACGGCACACCTAGGAGTAAATGAAAATATCACAGCATACTTAGCAAAATCTTAAGGGTATGTATTCAAATGTTATGAAATAAAAACTAGATTTAAAAAATATGCACCCACAAATAAGAACTTAATTTATTTCAATGTTTCTATTCAAAAATTTGTGCAGCTTTTTTTTAGTGGAAAACCTGTGCCTGGTGGTTTTTCATGATTTCTTTAATGTTTGGTCAAATGTGCGATAATCAGACCCTCATTTCTTTTTCAGTTGAGCGTAGTCTTTCTCGCTTCTTACTTTTGATGTTATTTAGTGTTGAGAAGCCTAATTCAAATAAATAAGGAGAAAATTGCAATAAAACAGATAAAGCCTTTTTCATCTAATGTCGGATATTCTTTTTGCATCGAAATCACAAATCTATAAAATTCAATATATAAACCGTTACAATATTTGGCGGAACACTTAAGATGATCAACAGCAGAAAATCTATAATCTAGGTCATAAACTGATTATTTGTTTGTCAGAAATTAGATACGAACGTTGAGGCACGGGTAGTGATTTTAGATTATCTCGAAGGCGTTTGGGGTGCTAGCCTTCTCCACAAGCTCAAGGTCTATGGTGTATCAGGCCGAATATTTGACTTAATTCAATCGTTCTTAACAAATTGTGTAATGAATGTCTTCTTGAACGGCCATGCATCTAGATCATTTTATTGTTCTTTCTCCTCACTAGAGTCTTCTCATTCTCTTTCCCTCCCGGTAATCCCTTGTATCTTAGTGACATTATCGCCATCTTCTGTCTTCCTGAAACCTGTTCCTTTATTGTCCTTTCTCCTCATTCTTTTTCCCACCCGGTAATCCCTTGCGTCATAGAGACATTATCGCCATCTTCTGTCGTCCTGAAACCTGTTCTTTTATTGACCTTTCTCCTTACCAAAGTCTTCTCATTCTCTTACACTCGCAGTAACACTTTTGCGTCTTAGTGGCATTATCGCCATCTTCTGTCTTCCTGAAACCTGTTCTTTTATTGTCCTTTCTCTTCACTCAAATCTTGTCATTCTCTTTCGCCCCCAGTGACCCCTTGCATCATAGTGGGATTATCGTCTCACTATGACTGAAATTTTTTTTCTTAATGTTAGTAATTATGCTACACTTAGTGTATAGGTTTCTTTTTATTAGTTCTTATCTTACAATTATAATACTGGGATTTTAATTTTGTCTTCTTTCAAGTGGTAATTGATTCGTTATTTTTGTCATTTCGAAGGTAATAACTTACAAGATATATAATAAGACATTTCAGGATTAATTCAGGTAAGGGTGCCAAAATTTTGCTCGCATCCAGGCACTGGGAGCGTTTACTTTGCCACTGGCGCTACAAGATACTTCATTGCTACCAAACTATTTTTGTACATTCCAATGTTTTCCGAATATGTTGTATATATGTCTGATAAGAAGACATGTCTCGAGCTGTTATTCGGTAACATTAATTATTCAAGTAGTTATTTCGTTCTCGCTACCTACTCGCCAACCACGTGACTAATCTCGTGCGACTTTCATATTACATACAGAGCCCACAGTTCAGATGATGACGTCAGAAGTGGCAGTTGGCACGGAGAAGACAGAATGACATATGTGCATAGCTTTAAATAAACCTCATCTTTGTCGCCATATTTATTACAACCTTTCGGCCGGCCTTCTTCAGGTGGTTGGAATGTTGAACTCAACCCTTTATTTCGCTCACTGGGGTAGTCTGTTCTAGTTCCACGTGCCATGTCTAATGAATGTCAACTATCAGTTATCAAGTTCTCCACTGCCTTAACCGGGTATTGAACACACACCTCGCTGGCTCCTATCACTCTCTCTAACCAACGGCTTTATCCACTGCGCCATGTGCCCTTGAGCATGAATTTCAGGGTATCATAAACCTAATGTCTCAGCAACATTATTTTCACAGTGCACGTATTGTACAGTGGATAGAGGCGTTGGTTAGATCCAGTGACAAGAGACAAACAGTGTGAGTTCAATACCCGGTTAAGGCAGTGGAGAAATTGGAGAAAGGAATTAACAGGAGATAACTAATAACTAACATCCA